TCCCGCCCGCTCCTCGCGGGCGCGGTTCGGTTAGGCCCCCCCCTGTGTGTGTGCGTTGCGACAGCCGCCACCGCAACCGCGACCACCACAGGTGCAGCAGATTGCACGCGGGGGGCAACCCTTACCCCAGGTGGTTGGGTGGTGTGGTGGTAGCTCTGGCTCGTGTCACTGTCTCTCTGTGATGAGCATTGTCGTCCTCATCCTCACAGCACTTGATGGCTTCTGCAAGAATCGCCAGGAGCATCCAGAACACACAGGGCGGCAGGTGCTGCAGCTGTCACAGCTGCTGAGCGCGGTTTTCTTTGGGCGTGTCTGTTTTTGGCAGTGCGTTGTGCAGCTGCTGAAAGTGCTTTCTGCGTCCTGCGAGTGTGTGGACCGGTGTGGACTTCCCCCGCGATGGTGACTGACTGTGGTGGGCGCGGGTGGGCGGGGCGTGGTGGGGCCTGGCGTTGTTATGTCAGGTACTACGGAGGGGTTCCCCGGTCGGTGGTGGAGAGGTGGGGGCGTCGCAGCGTCGCGCAGCGTCGAGTGGCGTCCGACCCAGGGGCAGTGGGGGCTCCGCGCCGGCTCCCCGCGCTGGATCCAGGTCAAGGAGAGGATAGCCCCCGCCCCGCGCGCCTCCTGCCCGCGCCCCGGGCCCCGGGCCCCAGTGTGGCAACGGGGAGCCCGGGTGGGGAGGGGCCCAGGGGCCCAGAGGGGCCCAGGGCGGGCCGCGGGGGCCCACGCCGGCCAGCTCACCGGCCTGCCTGCCTGGTCCGCTGCCCACTTTCCCTTCCGTTCTGGAGCGGGCGGCGCGCGCGGCGCCGGCTCCAGCGGCGGGAAGTTTGAATCGGGCCGCGGGGCACCTGTTGCAGCTGCAGCGGCCGCATCTGCAGCTGCAACAGGTGCAGCGGGCGCATCCCCACGAAGCTGCTCACATGTCAATCCCTAGGCAATCTCAGACAAATCAGTGTTGCAAAACTACATCATCATGGCATCGGGGAAAAAATGATTTAAAACTACAATTTGTCGGGTTTGGTTTTACATATTGCAGCCCAGGTTATATTAAAATTACACTTTCACGTTTTCTATGAATTTACAAACCGCCGTCTGATTTGTAATGGGAGCATGAGCGGCCGCACAAGGCGCGGCGGACCGTGGCGCCCATACCCCACCTCCTGGGCCGGTGTCGCAAGCTGCAGCGCGGCGCCCTGCAGCTCCTGGCGGACGGCGGGAACGTTTTGAAACGCGCCGCCTGCGTCCGCCCCGTCTGCGTCTGCGCGTGTGTGTAGTAAGGGTTTCAAAGTCGGATTTGTTTTTCTGGAAAAATTCGTAACGTTCCCAGAAATAAAATGGGAAAAAATTGAAATATTCCCAGAAAAATGGGTAGGAAATTCTCAGGAAAAAAATTCGGAGACTTAGAGAAAAATCCTTTTAAAATTCCGTAAAAAATTACCCCCAAAAATCTCTATTGTGTGTCAGATCAAAAAGCAGCACCACGCGTATGACTTTAAACTGTGGCCCATAACAAAAATCCGAAAAGCCCACATTATTCAATGTGGTCTAAAAAGGCTTCACGTGCGCATACCGGGCCTAAAATAACAATTCCGTCGAATTCCGTTGTGTAAAGATCTGATCGCTGAAATTGTAGAAATTGCCTTGCTCGGTGAACATAGGCGATACATTTAACTTAGGACAGACATAGACGGCACGAGTACTGGCTATGGAATTACAAGTGTCAGGGGGACAAAGTAATTGCCCCTCAACTCACAAAATACACTCCCCTTCTCGAATGTCAAAATCCTCATACAAGCACCTGCCTTTTTTTGAAAAGGGGTAAAAGGCTGATGATTGATCCAGAAATCTGAGTAGTTTGTTGTTGGGTTCACTATTTAAGTAATAATTAGCAGGATGACATTCCTTCGATTTGTTCCGACTTTGCCCCGCGCCGCCAACCTCCGGTCGGGCCCCCGTGCCCCGCCCCCGACCCGGACCTTTTTTTGTGCGTAAGGACTAGCCCCCCGCCCCCTCCCCCTCGCCTGTGTGCACGACCAAGGCTGGAGGGGAAGTGCGGTGGGCTCGTGTGTGAGGCTGGGCACTTCCCCTCCAGCCATGGTGTGCACGACAAAATCACGGCACGAACAGACACCACGACCTCCGCTTAAGGCTTCGCGTTTTGCGCTTTAGCGCACGCGAAGCCTAAAAAGGTCCTCATCGACGACAATAAGAGTTGGACTGAGGAGGAGAAAGAAAAGTAGTTGAAACAAAAGTTTTGACGCTTTGGCAGTGCAGCAGCTCAATGGCGAATGCAGCGGCTGCAGCGCGCTGCTGCTGCAGCTCGCGCGGTGCCTTCACTTTCTCTTTTTTACTGCCGCTTTAATTGCACTCGCTTGCACTAGAGCTGCACCACCACGACCGGCCCGCCGCCGCTGCTGCTGCTAGAGGCTCACGGGCGTTAGCGCAAGTACCTGCCGCGCGGGCACACACACACTCACACGTTGGCACACCGGCGAAAGAGAAATTTGAGAAGCGCGAATGTGACGGAGGCGAAAAAAAAAGTAGTCGATCTGTGTCGATACCGTGAGGTAGCCGCTAGCGTCTCGATCGAACGACGGCGTCGTCATTTTCATTGGCATGGATGTCGTTGATCTTGACTTTGAACACCGCCGCACGCGTGCGCTCGTGCTGATCGGAAGGGGTGATCCCGGACGATCCTGGAGGGGTTGATGCGACAATAGGTGAGGACGCTCAGGGGCCGGAGGCCGCCCGGAGGCCGCCCGGAGGCCGCCCGGAGGCCGCCCGGAGGCGACCCTCCCCGGAGCGGGGATGGACAGCGACACACTCCGGAGCGGCCGCGGCGCTTTTGTACTCGCCGATTTTATTCTTTTTTGTGTGTGTGTGTGATTTTTTTTTGTCAGACACAATAGTGCTTTCCACCCCTTCTCTTCTCTTTTGCGATCTTCTTTGCCTCTTTTGAAACGGAATGCGTATAACAACCCCTTCCGAACTTATACTCTCCCCTAGGTAGTTTTCCTTCTTTCGATTTTGTTGTTGCTGTTGTTGCTTTTTATTTCTTTCCCTGCGGAGGTCCGCGAGGTGTTGTTGCGGTAGAGGTGTGCGTGTGTTGTGACGAGTCTCCTACTCCTCTCATCTTGATATGATTCCATTCAGCCAGGACACGACATTGTTTCCGATTTGTGGGCCTTCTTCTTGGCCTGACGCCACTCACACACAGACGCGTTGAGGTCGCACACGTGGAGTCGGTGACACAACGTTGTCGACAACAGGTGTGTGTGTGTGTCAGTGTGACGCAGAGTGGCAACGAGAGAAAGAGACAGAGACAGAGAGAAGGGAAGTCTAGTGGCGAATTGCAAGTTGCAGAGACGTCTTCGCCCGACGAGTGATATGCGTCTTTCTTGGACCACGTTCAAAATCTAGGCGTGGGTGCGGTCTAGCACCGAGTGGCGGTGGCAACGTGTGTCTCTGCAAATGCGGCCGCGGGCTCGTCAAGTTGGGGACGACGACGCGAAACGTATTGCAAACGGGCGCAACGTCGGCAAGAACGGTCCCCGCCCCGCCGAGAAGCACTTTTGTCAAAAAAAAGGTCCAAAAAAAAAAACGAAATTAGAGGAAAATAAATGAAAATTGGTTTAAATAATACGGGGGAAATCTGAAAAAATCAAAAATGATTATCAAAGTCAGAAACAATAATTTTAAAAATCAGTAAAAAATATTTTCAAAATCAGAAAAATACGAAGTAAAATTAAGAAAGCAAACACAGAAAAATCGGTGTACGCTTGAATCTCTAGTGAGGTACCCCTCGGCCCCGCCTAGCGAGCCGCACAACACGCGCGTGCAGCCGAGCCTGTCGTTATCAGGGCACCAACTGCGCCCGATGCACACTTTTTTCCGGTTCGGTCTAAATCCGGCGGAAAGATAGCGAGAGGAAAAGGAGAGACGTACAGAGAGAAAAAGAAAAAGAGAGAGAGGGGGAAAGGAGAGCGGGAGGGAAGACCGCGAGGAGGAGCGGGAGAGAGGGGGGCCTCTGCGAGGCGTCGTGAGCGAGCGGGAGAGAGAGAGAGAGCGGGGTGGTGGGGGAGGGCGGTGCGGGGGACGACCGTGAACTTGCTCCGATAGCGGTCCCTGACGCAACGCACGGCGCCGTGCCGCGGCCGGTCGGTGGCAGCTGCAGCAGCTGCAGCAGCTGCAGCAGCTGTAGGCCGCGCAGCTGCGCGCCTGGCGCACGAGGTGATCGCGCCTTTATCGAGTGTGATACAACAACAACAACAGCACGATGGATGAGTCATACTCCAGAGTGCGGCGGCGCGCGGCCGCGGCGACACGATCCGATGTGCCCCGATTTTTGGCCTGGATATGGATATCTGTGCTGCTGACCAACTCGACGGCCTTGGGCGGGGCGGGGCGCGGGGCGGGGCGGTACGGGGCTGGGGCGTTCCATACTGCGGTGGATTTGCAGCGGCGAAACGTTTTGTGCGTGTGTGTTATTTTTCCGTCCGTCCGCCACACCGCATACGGCCGGGGCCGGAGGGGGGACTTACCGAGCTGCGGTCATATAATGATCGGATGATGACGGTTTTTACTTATGGATGATGGTGATGGTGACGGCTGATGATGGTTTTCACCATCATTGGTGATGGTGACGATACAGGATGGCTATACGGACATGAGCCCGCCGGGAGTTGAGCCTGAACCACTGTAGGCCCGACCAATGCTCGATATGAGCCCAGTTCCGAGTCTGACTCTTCAGCTTTGGTCTTGTCTGCGTCCAGCTAGGCCCATATCGGACACTGCTTGGGCCTACAGTGGTTCGGGCTCAACTCTAGGCGGGCTCATGTCCGTATAGCCTACAGGAGGTAGCGTGATGCGTTTTGTGCAGGTTTCAACATACTATTTTAATATTTAGTGTTTGATCAAAAAATTAACCAAAAATAAAAGTGACGGTGTAAGTTTGGTGTGGTATAGTGGCTAGTTGCTGACGGGTGTTGTTCTTGTTGTTGCAGTCTCGGTGGACACGTCGGAGCACCGCCTGCTCATGGGCATGAACCTGCTGCCGCCCATGGCGTCGCCGTCGCCGCCCCCGGTGGTGAAGCGGGAGCCGGGCGTGGAGCCTGTGCACGCGCTGCCCCACCCCCTGCCCCCTCACCACCCCCACCAACCTCCCCACGCCCACCGGGTGCCCCCCTACACCACCACTGGTGAGTTATTTGTTGCAATCGGAAATAGTACACGGAAAAAAAAAGATTCGCTGAGCCAGCTAATATATTGACTGGTATCTGGACAGACAAGCACATAAACTTCTGTAACCACTATATTGTCTACTCTAATCAATCATTGGTTGTGCCAGTCAAAGATAAGTTGTATGAAGTAATGATTTGCCTGCATCAGTAAGGTAGACCTCGACTGATTTAGGTAAGGGATGAGCTCTTACAGCTAATTTTTGACTGGCACAGCCAATGATTGATTAGAGTAGACAATATAGTGGTTACAGAAGTTTATGTGCTTGTCTGTCCAGATACCAGTCAATATATTAGCTGGCTCAGCGAATCTTTTTTTTCCGTGTAATTAAACAGGCAGTGGTAGTGATCCACATCATGTTGATAAGATAAGAATTCGAAAATTATGATAATTTTCTCCTCACTCTGCGCACAAAACTGTGATGAGGACTTGAAATGATATGGTTACGTTCTGCCACCCACAAAATACAAATAGAGCAAACGTAAGACAAAACACAAAAAATATAGTAAAAGTGAAATTTGTGGGGTCGTTGCCTTCCTGCGTGACGCGAAGGTCAGTAGGCGAAAGGGGCGCTAGCTTTGTCATTCCCCGCCTATTTTTAAAATGTTCCCCCCGTTATTTTTGAGCGCTTCTCCCACTACTGGGCCGCTGCCAGCGACTTATCATACGAGGACTCAATGGAAGCGAAAAACCGTTAATGAGGGCAGAAATAGTTTTGCTTTTTCTTGATAGTTTTTTTCTTCTTACTTGTCCGCGTGGGTTTTCGTCGTTATGCGATATTCAACGGACTTTTCTAGCCCTCGTGCCGCTCTTTCCCAAGCAGATTCGAGAAACGGCCGTTTTCTCGGTGCGTGGGTCGCGGGGCGGTCGCCGACGGGGAGGGTGCGGGTGACGAACTGCTTCTAGGAGCCGTTGGAGAAGGCGCGCCCCCACCCCTCACCTCGCCACTCAGTGACCATCCCTCCCTTTTCGTAAAAGATTTCTTTCTTTTTTCGAGAAAAATTTCTCAACCAAACTGCTCCCGTGTGATGATGGGAAAGGGGAGGGGGGCTTAAACGAGTTCGACTTTTGTTTACGCACCAGTGTACTGTAGGTCTTTTTTCCGTCGCTGCTGACCAAACAGTTTTACTTCTCTTTTTTTTACATCCCCTCGACCATTTTTGCTTTCCAAAGCCGCCCCTCATGCCGTCTGTGCGTGCATTTCATTGGGGCCAGAGAGAGAGAGAGAGAGAGAGAGAGAGAGAGAGAGAGAGAGAGAGGGAGGGACGTTGTTGCAATAAGCTGACTGCTCGTCTTCTTTTTTTTCCTACTGTTCTGACCGCCAAAAAATTCACCCCCCCCCCCTTTTCCCCTTTTGGAGCGCAAAGCAGAACCGGACGACACACAGCGCGCTGCCAAAAAGGGTTGGTTTGGTCGGTCCGCGGTGCGTTCCAAAAGTGCGTCCGCGGCTCCCACAGCGACCGCGACCGGTCCATGCGTTTTGTTTAGGCGTTTTTCGTTTATTTTATTTATTTTTTTCCTCATTTAATCCTCGCTTGCTCGCTCACTCACTCACTCACCATACCGCCCGATAAAAAAAATTGATTGAAATGACTATGGTGCAGAATACATATTATGCGACACGCAGCGAATGCGTGGGAGGAGAAGCCATCCCAGAGGAAGGGGGAGGGGGATATGTACGCAATATGGCCAAACGGGTTTGAATTGAAGCTGCGCGTAGCCATCAGCTTTTCGTATGAATGAAAACAGATAAATGACGATTTTTTTTTTCGGTAGGACTGCTTGGGTGGAATCACACTCACACACAGTCACGCACTGCGTGTAACCATAGCCCTGGAGGAGGCTGCTGGACCGGCCTGGACCGGACAGGCTGGACAACGGTCATCTCCATTTGGCGTTAGGGTCCCGCCGTGCGTGCGGTAGTGGTTGGTGCGTACACCGGACCGGCTCGGCTCGGCCAGCCGGTTTGAGTCGTGTCCCGGCTCGGCTCCTATGCCTCGGCTCGGACCCGCGGAGTCGCGCAGCCCGCGCTGCTCTTCGCTGCGCCGCCACGACGCCGCTGTCCGCGTTTCGGTTTCGTTCGTCCGTCCGGCTGGTTTTCGCTTTTCAAGGAGGCCGCCGTGTCGGACTCTCGCATCGCGTCCCTGGGAAAAACGAGATGACTCCCGGGAAGCTGTGTGTGCCAGAGAGAGAGAGAGAGAGAGAGAGAGAGAGAGAGAGAGAGAGAACGTGTGTGCGTGGGATTTGAACACATACCGCGCATGTGTGCCTTGCTGCACCGCTCGAGTGAAAACGCGCCCGTTTCGGCCCAGACTTATACTCTATAGACGTGCGAACTGGGTGAAGTTGAGAGTGGTCGCAGAATGCACCTTTCCCGCCCCCCCCCCTCTCTCTCTTTCTCTATCTCTATCTCTCTCATAGGGGCTAAGTGCCTTACATTCTTAAATTTATGATGTCATCAGCCGATATGAAACGGACATAGAAAGACACATAATCTAAAAGGCAGCAGTATCATGAGTTTAAATGAAATACCTACGCTGCATTATACCTGTAAAACTCAGTCGGCTTAATCAATAACCTGCGTTTTTATTTCCTCTCCCTCGCCCTTTAGCCCGCATGCGGTCGTACTACGAAGCCTTCGCCTGCCGGCCGACTGTCCCTTGCGGGCATTCACACAAAAGTGGCGAGTGTAATGCCGTAAGATTAGCTAAGCGCATCTCGCGCGTCTTGCACCCCTTCCTTCCTTTTTTTTTCGCGCGCACGACTAGGACCTGCTCGGTCTTTTGGCGTCGTCGTGATATCATTTTGTTAAGGGTAAGAGAGGGACGCGCGGATAAGGTATTGACGTATTTATGCGTGTGTCTTGGATCACGTGAATAAACATGGCACTGTTCGTCCGGCTATTTGTTTACCTCGAGGGGGAAGAAGACGCCCGCTGTCTTTTCTTCCCTTTATGCTGAACCGTACTCACTCCCTCTCTTTTTCGGGGGGGGACCGAAAGGGTTGTGCTGACCGCGGTCGACGTCGTCGGGGTGCTCGCAGGAGCTCGGCCAGGTAGACGACGCGCGGGTCGCGAGGATGTCCGCGAAAGGAAACCAAGGTGTGAAATGTAAATGGCTTTCCAGTCCCGCGCCGGCTGCTTCGCTAGCCCCTGGCTACTTTATGAGGGTGTCTAGAATGTGTGTGTGCGTGTGTGTGTTTCTTCGGTTTCATACGTATCGTCCTGGTGGTCGCATACACACTCTCGTACGGTCGTAAAGCACTCACGAGACCTCTTTGGCCACCCAAAAATCCCTTCGCATGCACCTCTTTTCCTTTTCTCTTCGTAGAGCTCGCAGTGATATAATAAATTGAACAGGAGCAAACACTTCCTCTCTTTCCTGAACCGCCACCGTACGCACTGCGTTCTTGTCGTCGTCATGGTTTACGATCGCTTCGCTTTTGGCCACCTTCCATTTCAGCCTCGGCCTGCCCCGTTCGTCGTCCGTTTGCGATACCGTTGCATAATAATTCTGTGAGAACGCCGGCAAGAGAGGACTTTTCGATTCGTTTGTTGTTGTATTATTTCCATATGTGTGATATTTATTATGTGGTTTACTTGGTTTATCTGCCTCTTTCTCTCTTTCTCGCTCATGCGTCTTCGATAAATTGCGCGTCTCACTTCCGCGACTTCCCTCCCGCGCCGCCCGGACGTCACATTTTGGATTTCGCGCGCGCGCACTGGTGTGCGGCGACCTTGCGCGAGGCCATTCAGCCTAGATAAGAAGGAGTAGGCGTAGAGAGAACCTCGCGCCGCTCGCGGGCGGGCGGCTGTCGGGGTCGAGGAGGGAGAGAAAGAGAGGAGGAGGCCGAAGTGGCGGAAAGGGTGCGCTCCCAACGACCGATTCGCACGGTTCCTGTGTTGGTACCCTCCTCTGGCGGTGCACTGGCCCAGTATGTCGTCTGCTGGACATACTGGACATCATTTGTCAGGCGGGACATGCGTCAGCCCTAATTGGGTTTCATCAAACTTCCTCGCCTTTTCTTAGACTGTGCTGTGCGCTTTCGTGTTTTTTTTTCTCTCTTTCTTTCTTATACTTGGCGCGGCTTCCTATTTTGACAACGATGCAGCAGGAGGAGGGGGTCTTGCGATCGCGCTGGGAAGGAAGACGGGAAGACGAGCGGGCCGGACACTGGTCAAGGAAGGAGGGAGACAGAGAGAGAGGAAACAATGCGGATAATAAACGGGCAAACAAACAGCGGGTCCCGCTGCTGGACATCATACCCATCATTATGACGACGACTGGACTCGACGCATCCCCCGACACGTCTTCCAACCCCCCCC